TCTCTCTCTCTCTCTCTCTCTCTCTCTCTCGCCTACGAATTTGCGTTGTTCCTCTTCTACCTACGTCAGAACTCCAGCCCACAGCTCCTACCTCTTGAACATCCTCTACAGAAGTAGCGCATCTTCTGAACTCATAAGTGCCTTATAGCTTTTCTACCGTCCAGTCGTGTACAGTCTGCATAATTGGAACCCCACTGGGGAGAGGATCCCGTGGAAAATTCGGTCCCAGGAGAGATAACCTGCCTGCCCGGGGGGGGGAGGAGGGCGGAGTGGATATTTGAACAGTTTCCAGTGAAGCTTCGCTGTGAAATTGACAGGTTCTTCGGTGGGATGAAAGATGCACACACAGTGGTACTGACTTCAGGCGTTACTACGTACCGATCTGATACGAGGTTATAAGCATGACGAATGTTGCCCGCCCACACCGCCCGTTCTCCACCGTCTAGTATACTCGTTGGTGTAGCGTTCTTTTTTCGAATCGAGGAAGTACTGGGAACTATTTCCTAACCAAGCTGTTCTCCACAGCCACTGATCGGCGAGCCATGTCTTGGCGGACATCATTAGAGCACAGTGGTCTGCGCTATCTGAGTGATCTCTTCGAGAGCACACGCCACTAAGAGAGACATTTTTTCTCGTTCACGAGCGGTGACACCTCAACGGTTAAATTATTTTCATAAGGTTACCGACATATGCTTGAGTTTTGTAGCATCTTGCCGGTGCTCTTAGCAAAATTCTACAGTAGATTCCCCACTTAATGAATCTTCAACCGAAATTCTGCAACCTGTTTTCGCTTCGAACATATTACGTAAATAGAGTTTATATCCTAATTATCGTGTCAAGATTTTTCAGTCACATCAGGAGGTGGATTTTTGAACGAGCTTCTTTCTGAACATATCAACATAAGACCGCCTTTCAAAGCTCTTGCCTGAAAATTGTAGCTTCGGAAGCGCTTGGACCGTGTTCTTAAGATGTCCTAAACTTGAAGCTTTACCGTCGTACAAAGTGGACTTCAAAGGCCTACAATGTGTTCTTGACCAAAACAATATTCCAGCATCTTGTCGTGGCACTTAGCAGATGACTGTCTCTGTCCTCGTTCATTCCTCCAAGTTAAAGCAAAAGGAAACGTGTAAAAAAATCCCCCCGATAAGACATGATAATTTCCACGCAGTAATAAAATCTGTTTTCCGCGGGCCCCTTTTCCTCCTTTTAAGTCCACTCTAAACACCATGTGTGTGTTGCTCTGGAACCTTCAAAATATTCCCAAGCCCACTCTGTTCCGTGTATGCATGACGTATTTGCTGTAAGTGTAAGCCTTTCAACAACCGACTTGCTGTGTGGGTAGAAGTTAGGTTGCAGAATATAAATTTCCGACATTACGGTTGTATTGCAACGTTTCCAGGACACGAAATTTCACAGATGGACAGCTTCGTAAGGTTCGAAGGCTAGCACGCCCTGATTTCTGGGAAACTGTTCGAGGTTTTTCACACCTACCTGCATTCAATTTACAGCATCTGTATAACCAGCCTTTTAAATTATGTAAAGGTTGCTCTCGCAAACTTTCCTCTCCACAATGGTCTCTCTGACAAACTCTCACCAGGAGGTTAGTCAGTATGGCCTAGCAGTCTCCTAATTGCGACAAGCCGCTGATTTGCACTTGAGACCTCCTGTTTTTCTTTAATAAACAATAATCTCTGTGTGAAAAAAGAGGTCTTTTAAGCACACACCATGTTGTCGTGCTAATAAATAAACCACACAGAGCCTCGAGGCATTTAAATCATCGTGTCCCACCGATTCCGCTACCTACTGTGAATCAGTGGAGCTTCGCTACGTGATTTCGTGTGATTGTGATTTTAGTGCTTAGGCCTAGACTGTGTGAGCCAAGATCCAAGCTGCTGCCCCTGTCATCTTATTGTGTTAAAGCCCTGGTCAAGTGGGGGCCGTAAACAGGTGGCATATGATCGCGTGAGTGACACGGAGGCTTGAATCCGTGCCGCCACCTGCATTGGGCGTTGGTGGTACACGAAAATACGTACTCAGGCACTAGCCACCCCTGGCTCTTATGGCACTCCCACTTCGTGAGATATGACTCAGACGTGACGCTCCGACCGTCTACTTCCGATTCTTCCTCCGCCTTTTTGACCCTATCTTGACACCGGGTTCAGGCAGGAAGGTTTATGTGCCGAAACCCTCGTGAAACCAAGTAAAAACGCACGGTACTGGCCTGGTGCTCTACAAAGCCAGCAGGCAGATATTTCAAAAATTGGACATCAAACAGCCTGTCTGAGACGGACCGTCACGCTCAGACTCACAAGTAACGAACCGCCGCTATAAAATTACGAGAATTGGTCTTTTCCCAGACATAGCGATTGAGTTTGGGTAGTTTGTTAATTGAAGCATGCTGTCAAAGGCAGTGGAGACGGGCACGACCATTTCTGGCTTATTAGCCGTCATCAGCCAACCACGCCCTCAACCCCAGATGGTGTACCACCTGAAGCTCGAACTCAGCGACCGGCTGATCAGCATCCAACCCTCTAACCATTGAGCCACGGGCTCGTTGTTCTGTCGATTTGTTAGTTACAAAAGTGAAAAGCTATTCAAACGTTGAACTCTCCTTCCTTCGGTAGAGCATTGTTTTGC